ATCTCTGTTGTTTAAGTAGCTCAAGCAAGCGTTTTCTATGAAAAAAATGGTGAATCACTTTGGAGGATACTATTAGACCCCAGATTTGCCCGAATCTGCGGCTTAGTAAGTTACATGAAAAAGGATTTTCACTATATGCCAAACAATTTCATTATCTGCAGTTCTTTGTATGTGAGCCAGGTATAGAGCACATACTGAACTCGTCAACCACGGTGCATCTACACTGGATCCAACTAAGCTAAAGAAAAGGTGGTAAAGACTTGAAACTGTAAACAGCTAACCGATTTCGTGGCGACTGTTATGTATTGTCTTCTTAGCCGACATCACTATGTATAAAGTTTGAAGTGGATACCTGGGTGTATGGATGATTGTTAGCTTTTCTAATGGTATATCAATCGGAGCGAACTTTGCTGCTAAGATGGCTAAGCTCGGAACAGAACTGTTCCGTAGTTAAATTCAGTAACCAGCGCTGACCTGTACATAATTCGACCCTTCTAGAGTTTGAACACGACCAGGCGACAGATTTCAGTTCGTAGCAATCCAATGTTTGATCAGATAGCTGATTTTATAAGTGTTTCGTTCTTTCGCGCGAAACGCCGCAAGAGCGACTACATTTATGCGATAAAGCAGTAATTAGCTGTGTAAATTCTCTAAAGTCTGCTTAGACACATATCGACGTAGGGAAAACACAACCTTCAAGGTAAAAACTTATTTAAAAACTTTTTTCAGAAGTCTTAATGCATTATCTGCGTCGCTTTCGTCTCCTAGCAGAAGGACGGATCTGTAAATCGATGGAATTCTGCTCAAGAGCTTACGAATTAATAGTCCCGAAAATGATCAGCTAGAAGCGTAGCTAAATAGCCGTACAACCCCAAGGCTGATCTATTACCATTGATTGTTTCGTGGATGCCAGTAACCTGCCTTAATTAGTTACATACTACCCCGACCTTAACCATAAATCGTAAGAGAATTCAAGTCTTGACTTAACGTCGAGTTCCCACCTGACACCACCTGAAGACGGGGGAGGGAGAAACGCCTAATCAATCCTTACATACTCATATATGGCATATCATAAAAGCCTCAGGTAGGTACCTTCGCGAACATGCGTTCCATCGCTATATTATTTAACCCCAAGGACTAAGGCATTGATTTCCCAGAAGAAAAAGCTTATTGTTTAATTACGCATTGACCGAGCCAAAACGCAGATATGTGTTTGGCCGTTTCTGTAAAAGGCTATTTAAAACGAAGCACTACCGAGCTTGGTCATTGCTCTAGATCGTGCATCAGCCAGAAGGTCGTTTCACCCTAAGAACTCCCTATCACTGTGACAGCACCAGACATTATCATCACAGTCCGCCAATCCCCATAGCGATGACCAAGTCGTCTTCACTAATCTTGCTTCAGGTAACGTCATATGTGTTTGTTCAGACAGTAGGGGATCCTGCTGTAAAAGTTGATTTTAGTTTGTTTTGGTTAATGTAACCTCATGACCTGACTGTTTGTCTCAGCTCTCAGTAGGTGCCGATTTACTGTTTACTGTTTTAGCCGAGATCAACACTCTGATTGTAGACGGTCAGTTTTTCAACAGGAATGAGGGAGACACATTTTCAATAACCACCCAATTAAGCAACGAAATAAACATAGTTGGAAAGACATCGACACATGTTTAATTAAAGCAAAATTGCATATTTAATTGTGTACAGATGGAGAATGTAGCAGTTACCAACAGCCCCTACAACCGCAGGCAATCTAAGCCTAAGTCACATATTGTCAACAACGTCAGGGAAAAAGCATGCAAATACAGAATGATGACGTCATTGAACATTTTATTGCTGTTAATTTGTTGAATACAATTTAGACAGCGGTGATACAAGTAAATAATATCCTAGTTCACAAACACTTCAATTACACGAAAGTTTTAAGTTGTCGGAATCAGACTCTTATATTACTGAATAAGTGAGTATCATACAGAGTATACCTCGCTTTTGAAATTTGCAGATAATCAGCTTGTGAACGGTTTTTAAAGGGTTGAATCGCAACCAAATTAAATTTTCAAGCATGTCTCTGTTTTACGACCGCAGTTAAAAAATGAAATAGGGACACCCATTCATCTCAACCTTACATATCAAAATGGTAAAGCTATAAAAAAGGCCAAAGATATTTCACCAGGTCTAGCCAAGCCACTGTATGCGGGAAGGGCACTTGTCAATGTCAAAGTCTTTGATGGAAGAACCGCCACCTAAAGTCTCTAACTACATTGGATGCATAAGCTCAGCACCAGAAAGTTGCATCAGATCATTGCATCAACTGCTTAGATTGATTGATGAGAAATGATTTGTTGGCTGCATATCAATACAAAACCTATACTGAAACAACAAACCTACTGACCAAGGACCTGCGATTCTGTGGTGTAAGAATGAAAAAAATTAATCGACGAAGTCTTGCGCATTTAAAAGGGCAAAAAGAACAAGTGCGGTTTTCGATCATGCCGAAGTACCTCTGCCCAGATTTGTGCCTTGTTCCAGATCGCTGAGAAATCGTTGCAATTCGCTCCTCCGATGCAGACGTGCCTGTGGATCAAGAAAAAGCCCAGGAACGCTTCCCGCGCAACATTCTGTGGCAATACCTGTGAACATGTGGGATGGATGGCCAGTTGCTACAGGTCATCCGATCACTATATGCTGATGGCAGGTGCTACGATAGAGTAAATGGCAGTATGTCGAAGCCTTTCAGCCTTGGCACTGGTCTCCGCCAAGGCTGCGTTCTGACCCCTCTTCTGCTTGTGTTGTACATAGGCAAGGTTGATCGGTACAGCGAAGACAATGACGGTATCGGTGTAGGAGACGTGAAGACGAGAAAGCTGTTGTTTGCATACGACCTTGTTTTATTGGCATCCTGTGAAACTGGTCTTCAGTGTTCCCTAGAAAGGTTCGCAACCGAGTGCGAACGTGACCGGCATGTGTGAACGTAGCCAAAACGAAAAGCTTAGTGTTTCCTCGCTTTCCTACCCCTTCCTCCCTTCAGATTAACGTAGAAGCAATGGAACAGGTGGAGAAGTCCAAGTACCTTAGGGTCGTGTTTACTGGTGATGGAAAATGGGAAGTAGAAATCGACAGAATTGGAATGGCCAACGGTGTCCTGCAAAAACTATTCTGACAAAGGTATAGCAGAGTCGTATATTTTTACCCCCATGCAAGAAGGATATGGCTCATGTGCGGTATGTAAT